GGGTGGGGTGCGACAAGCCGGTAAAGAGGGAGAATTATGCTAGAGGAGCCACTGAAGAAAGTGCACCTTCCTTTGGGGTTTTGGTTGGGAGCCTGGAATTCAAACTGGTACTACTGGACCTGAAACAGACCACATCGTGTGGTCTTTCCTGAAATGAGGATTTTTTAAAAAAACTGAAGTAAAACTGACTTACATTATTGCATTAGTTTTAGGTGCTCAACACACTGATTCGATATTTTTATACATTACAAAACGAAACCACTAAATGAGGATATTTTCTAAATCTCATTGTTAGCTGAGAGAACTGGCGATGAGTGAAACGTGACAACCAAAAAAACCTTCCCTGAGGTCATTCCTCCCCTCCCCCACTCTCCCAACCTTCCAGGAAACCCTGAGCCTAGAGGCCCCTTTAGTTACCACAGCAACTGAATTTAGCAGCCAAAGGACAAAATACCCTGTATGGCAGTGCTGCCAATAAACATTCAATCTGAGTCATTTATGTAATATTAAGTTTTCTAAGTGGCCGCATTAAAATTTTTAAAAGAAAAACATAGGAAACAAGAATAATTAATTTTAATAATTATTTTATTTGACCTGATATAGTCAAAATAATACTATTTGAGTTTGATTAAATTACAATTGATTTATAAATATATTAAAGTATAATTGATTAAATTATAATCAATTTAAAAATTATTAAGATAGTTTACTTTTTTCCTACTAAGTCTTTGAAATCCCGTGTGTATCTTACATCCCCACTTAGACTCTGTTTTCTACAGCTAAAGTAATATGTCGTTCTAATCAAAACAACGAAGTTGTGTTTAACGGGAAAATATTTTAAATGAACTAAAATTAGCAGTTCGGTTCCTCAGTCGCACCAGCCACATAAGTGCTCAGCAGCCCCAGGAGGCTGGAGGCTGGACCCTGAAGCCTCACAGTGACATGTGCCACGCAAGTCTTTTCTCCATTCTTTGACTTTTATTTATTATTTGTCTCACAATGTCATTCTTCTTCTTCTTCTTCTTCTTCTTCTTCTTTTTCTTTTTTTGTCCACACAGCTTGTGGGATCTTAGTTCTCTGACCAGGGATCGAACCCACACCTTTAGCAATGAAAGCGCAGAGTCCTTACCACTGGACTGCCAGGGAATTCCCTCACAATGTCATTCTTGGCTCTAAATCACTGTCTTTTATTTCTCCCTCTCCCTTGCCTTAGAATAATTATTCCTTAATGTTTTGCAAGAGTAAATGGCACCAGTGAAAGTAAAAAGTAAGTCTTTTTGCCCTTCATTCACTCAGAGCAGGTTCCAATGTAATTCCAGAACACAGTTATTTTTCCAATACTTATTGAAAGAACAGATGAAATAATTGTAAAGGCCTAGGATTATACCTGTCCCAAATAATTTGTGTAAAACCAGTGTAGTGAAACAATAGTGAGGGTCAAGATTTAGATGTCTGAAATCTGTAGGTATTTTCTGCTTGGTAGAAAAATAGGGAGGGTGAAGGGGAGAGAGATCTGAAACCTGTTTTCTCTGGCTAAACTCAGTCTGAGAAAATTACCTTTAAGAAAGCTAAGCAGCTTAGAGGGAGAGAGGACACTTCTATCAAATGTCTATTTTTAAATGGTAACAACTGGGATTCAGCTGGATCTCAGGAATCTACAAGCATGCTGAATATATTGAGATGAAAACCCCTCGAGCAAGTGGGACTTAATATAAGTTCCTGCTTCTCAGAAACCAGATCAGGAACCTGACTTGTCCCCAAGGTGACAGGGACCTCCAAGTTAGGCAACCCTCACTGTGGGCCACAGATAACAGTTGCTCAATATGACTGTTTGCTGATGTGTTGGGGGGATTGGCTGGGGGACTGGGGTCTTGGGTGCACTTTGGAAGCAGGCACCACGAGATTCCAAGCTCCACCCAGGCTGGAGCCACAGCTCTGGTGACCAGTCTCCAAGGAGAATGCCAGAGGAGGAAATATGGTCGATAAATTTCAAAATGGAATAGGTTGGGGAGGAATGTTATGAAATCCCCACCTAATAGTTTAATGGAGGTCTGTTTAGAAGAATGGGAATGAATGAATCATGACCTGAAATCTCTTAGATCCAAATGCAGGTAATCTGCCACCGTGGATCTCAATCTCCTTTTCAGGTTGCCCTGTCAGAGGATGTTTGGTAATATGATAACCAAGCAGGAAAACAAACAGATCCAAAATCTTAAAACCAGGGAACAAAGGGCTGTAAACATATTTACCTTGTCAAAGTAAAGACAGGGAAAACTATCTCTTTGACAGAACAATGTAAATGGCATTTCAAGGCACAGAAAAAGCTAGTGACTGCTTTAAAGATATCCAAAGGTAATTCTGCTCTTTGCTCGTATTTGTAATATTCCTCATAAAGAACAACTTTTGCATAGAATGTTATTTGTTAATTTTCTTTTATTAGGTTAGGTGTAGATGGAGTTTATTTTGAATCTGAAAAAACCTTAGAAAATAAACTCTCAGGGTGAGGAAAGAAAAAATTTGAGAAATGTTGATTTTCCTGTCTGAACTGGGTTGCAACTAACTGTTCATTATTCCAACTGATCCTGAAGGACCTAATCCCAGCTCCCAGATCCTTATTACTTTCTTCCCTCCTCCAATATTCAAAAGTTAATCCATCACACACCAGTGCTAGATGAATTACCTTAAATCAAAAATTTAATTACATCATCTCCTAATCAAGTAACTTGAACAAGTTATCGAAAAAGTCTAGATCAGTTCTGTCCAATAGAAATATAATGAGTCACACATGAAATTAAAAATTTTCCAGTAGCTACATTAAAAAAATGAAAAAAAAGAGTTGTCACTTTTAATATTATATTTTATTTAACTTAATATACCCCAAATAGTCTCATTTCAACACATATTTAATATAAAAATTATTAGTAAGATATTTTATTCTCTTTTTTTGGGTATTAGCTCTTCAAAATCCATCTTCATTTTACACTTACAGCACATCTTAATTGAGACTAAATTGTCAAGAATCAAGGAGAAATGTAGTCCTATTAATTAGGCTGTGTTTAACAAAAACATTTTATACAACTTAAAACTTTTTTTTACATTGCTTCAATTTTTTTTAATTGATGTATAGTTGATTTACAATATTATGTTAGTTTCAGGTGTACAACATAGTGATTCGATATTTTTATAGCTTATACTCCATTTAAAGTTATTACAAAATGTTGGCTATGTTCCCTGTGCTGTACAATACATCCTTGTCGCTTATTTATTTATTTTCTTTTTTTTAGCTTATTTATTTTATACACAGTACTTTGTGTCTCTCAATCCCCAACCCCTGTTTTGCCCCTCCTTCCCTCTCCCCACTGGTAACCACTAGTTGATCTCAATATCTGTGTGTCTGTTTCTGTTTTACTATATTCACGTCTTTGTTTTATTTTGTAGATTCCACATATATATGATAACATACAGTATTTGTCTTTGTCTACACTGCTTCCATTTTTAAATACAAACTTTTTTTCTTTAACGTTGCTTTTTTTATAGAGGTATAATTGATATACAACATTATATTGGTTTCAGGTGTGTAACATGATTCACTATTTGTAAACACTGTGAAGTGA